ATCGGAAGAAGATATGCAAATGAGAGCACACAATATGCAAATGAGCACTCCATTAGCATTTCGTCTTCTGCAAAACACAGTGTAGATGTAGACTGAGTGAGAGAGCATATCCCAAAGCACCCTGGGGTGCAGGGAAGGAAACCCTGCACGCTGTGACAGGCACCCACAGGCAATTCAGCCACATGCTACACGGAAGAGGTGAGGTTTTAAAGAAGTGGTGGGCAACCTGCGGACATGCTCAGATAAATGACCCATTTATCATTGTGCCATGAGGGCGGGGGAAGGCCCAGCTGGGGAAGCAGCCCCAGCCTTACTAGGGAGCCGGGCTCTCATGATGCGGCCCCAGCTGGTGCGTCGCGGCCCCAGCCTTTCCCAGTGTCAGGCGAGTGCAGGCAATTTTGGGAAGGCAATGCCGTTCGTAGCAGCCCCAGCCTTACTAGGGAGCCGGGCTCTCATGATGCGGCCCCAGCTGGTGCGTCGCGGCCCCAGCCTTTCCCAGTGTCAGGCGAGTGCAGGCAATTTTGGGAAGGCAATGCCTTCCCTTGTCTATATTACCCACCGCCCATTCATTCTGCAGAACTCACTCAAGACTGCTACTTTGCCTTGTTTCTGCAGCAGAGATGGGTAACCCTAAATCTCTGTGCATTAAAGCAGCCTGGACAGGAAGCTGCTTTATAGAGCAGGCAGCTAACTGGGCTTTGCCAGGGCAGCCCTGCTGAGTCCTGATCTCTGCCACAGCTGATCATGGGAGGAATGTCTCTGGTTCCCTGGCTCGCAGACCAGCCAGTCACCCGTGTCGTGAGGTCATTTTACTGAAAAGGCAGGAACCATCTGTTGTCAAGTAGCATTTGTGGGACACAAGCCAACGGTGATGCAATCCGGGTTGTTTCTGTTCAATGGAAACGTTGGGCTCAGCTTACAGAATGTGAGGCCTTGCGAGGAGCTCCATGGAGAACCAAGGGTCTGTTTTTTAACCTTAGGCTTGTCCTAGTCCAAACACGCCTGGCCTCAAAGCATCCGTGTTCTCGCCTCCTCGCAGCAGCCAGCGTGGCTGAATATGGTCACATGAGCCACTCTCCCTGATTAGAAAGGAAGGGTTTTGTTTGCAAAGAGCTGGATTCCTGGGCGTGTAAATGACAAGAGAGGACACGACCTTTCCAAAGGGCTGGGCTTGCTCATGTTAACTGAGGTTTATTTTTTCTGTTGATTCTTTATACTTCTGGGGACTGAGTCTGCTTTCCTTTCTCACTCATTGCAATGGCCCCTATGCTGATATACCGTTTCCTCTCCAGGGTACCCCCAGCCAGAAGTGACCTGGTATAAGGATGATGAGGAGATGGACCGATACTGCGGCTTACCAAAGTATCAGATATTCCGCCATGGAAACCGTCACACCCTGCAGCTATACAGGTAAGACAGAAAGCAGAGAGCATTTGATGGAGGAATCCTCTCTGAGTAACTTGTTTTAACAGAAAGCATAGGGATTATTTACAACAGCCTGAGATATCCGCTTCCAATTGTGTGCATGCCAGTCGGGCCGTGTCTACACTAGGAAACTATTTTGAAATAACTAAATTCGACTTAACTCTTGAAATAACAATATCGAAATAGTGTGTCCCCACTATGGGGAAGCCTCGAAATTTGTCTGAGGCAGGCTCCATTAATGTGGATGTGGTACCTCGACTTAGAGCTGCAGGGAGTAATTAGTTCGAATAACTCTGGGGTGTCATTATTTTGAAATTGCAGCACCGGAGTGTTCATGGTCCTGCTCTTTCAAAATAATGTTTTGAAATTAGCGTTATTCCCTGAGAAAAGCAGGAGTCCAGAGTTTTAAATAAGCAGCCCATTATTGCGAAATAACGGGCTTGGTAGTGTGGAAGCTCTGCTTGTAAATTCTACCGGGGGCGGGGGGGCAGTTATTTCGGAATAAAGCCCTAGTGTAGACCAGTGTCCCTCTAAGCTGCACGGCAGCACAGCCCCACAGTGGATTTATCAGCCCCGCCCAGTCAGTCAGCTCCCTGCTGGGAGCCCTGAGCCTCTGACTGGGTGGGGCTGATTGAACAGCTGCAGGATGGTGCTGCCGCGCAGCTTACAGGGAATGCCGGTGTAGACCAGAGTTTGGAGAGAGACACTTCTCAATCCCACCTTCATTACCCCCTCCTCCCATTCACAATCCTGAGCCTTGAATGCCTGCTATGCCCACTGCTATCCGATGGTAGCCAGCAGCAGCTGCTGAGTTTGTAGCACCCACTAAAAGGGTCCTCCCTAGAGCCACCACCCCATCCTGGTTATGGTCACCCCTTGTACTCATCTGACCCCCACCCTGCCAGGCAGGGCACCAGCCCGATCCCCCACACCATAGCCATTCTCTGGCGCCATGGGGGAAGCAGCGGGGAGGAGAGAGGTCGGGGGCATTGATATTTTCTGTGTGTCTTAACTCTGGGAGCAGTACGTGTCTCTGTCCACATGGTAGGAGCTGACACTACAGCAGGGATCAGCAACCAGTGTCTCTCAAGCCATATCTGGCTCAGAACGGAACCAAATCTGGCTCTTCTGTCCTTCCCAAAATACAGGCAACTTTTTACATTGAAATGAAAAATGAATTCAAACTGTTACAACGCGTCCCTAGTCCTGTTGAGATGCTCTGTTTCGGTCTAAGGTGCTGCGCCCCGATAAGAACCCGCTACGCTGTGGCAAGAGCTGGCTACAGTGGCCTAGCTTGGGTTCCAGACAACCTGGCCAACAAGGCCCCAATTGGGGTCCAGCCCCCATCTGGCCACAGTGTCCTAACCTCTAGCCCCAACCCAGGAGATTAGTGGGGAGGGGGCTGGCACTGGCAGCAGGGGTCAGGGCCCCCCTGAAAATGCCATGGCGGTGGGAAGTGGAATGATCCCCTGAACCCGGCTCCCAGCTGCATCACCTGGGGGGGCAGCGTAAGCTAGAGCAGGGTCACTCCAGCCAGCTGTGGTTAAGAGCCATGGGAAGTGCCTCACCTGGCCGGGAAAGCCCAAACTTTGTGTGTAACTAACCTTTCAGCCACTTCTGAATGTGACGTGTTTAGTCTGTTTCCCTCGTCCGGGGCTGGAAGGGACTAGAGTTAATCGATTCCTGGCCGTCTCTGAGACTGAGCCCCTGTGTTCAGCATTAAATATGTGGAAGAAAACAGGCCTTCACTCTGCGTTTGTGAGCAACAGGTAGTCAGAGACAGTTTATTCAAGCAATGTTTTAAAGCAGTGGTCCCCAATGCGGTGCCCGCAGGCGCCATGGCGCCCGCCGACAACCTTATGTATGCCCACCTAGCGCCTCCCCCGGGCATATATGCAGCCCCCGAGTACCCGGCAAATGCGTGGTGCTGTCCTGGGCACATGGCGCATGCGCGGTCCCTGCTCCTGGGCGGCCCAGCAGCCCCGTGCGGTGCCTGCCACCCAAACATCTCAGAAACCCCAGGGCTCGGGCAGCCCCAGCCCTGAGGCACATGCCGGTGCCCGGCGCGTGAGTGGCCCCTCCCCCAGGCACCCGGGAGCCTCTAAAGGTTGGGGACCACTGTTGTAAGGGAAGAAGCTGCTGCTAGGCAGATCATCAAATACAAAACAATTAGAAGCCCATATATATACACTGTCTGTTTATATATAATAACAATAAACAATTATTCCCCTTCCCATAACAATTCCCTGCAGACGCCACCTTATCTCAAGGCCTTCACTAGAGTCAGCATTCTATCCTTATCTCAAGCACCAGAGAGACGAGAGGCGAAAACAGCGTCTCTCTCTGCTCTCGCGTTCTTAGGTCTCAGAGTTAGCATGCGTTAGGCTAACCAAAAGTTCAGAATGGCTACATACAAATCCCTTAGCTTCCACAAATATGTGTATCCGGCTCTTCAGTGTCCAACCAGTCCTGTATCCCCCAAGCTATCACCATTGGGGGCCATTTGATTCCCTGTCCAATATTTTCACACTGTGAACAGACTTGAAAATAATGAGGTGTCCTGTGGCACCTTAGAGACAAACAGATTTATTTGGGCCTCCGCTTTTGTGGGTAAAATCCCAATTCATCAGATGAGTTGGAGTGGAGATTACGGAGGCAGGGATATATAGCTGGAGTAGCATATCAAAAGAAGGGAGTTACTTATCAAGTGTAGGAGCAGTTGTTAAGGAGGCCAGTTCAGTCAGGGTAGATGTGACTCACTCCCAGCTGCTGAGGGGGAGGTGTGAATACCAGGAGAGGGAAAATTGCCTTTGTAGTGAGAGAAAATACTAAATCCTTATTCATACTAAATCCTTATTCAGACCTAATTTGATTATGTTAAATTTGCAAATTAATTGCTGCTGTTTCTCTTTGTAGTCTGGTTTTGATAAATAACCCAATTTATCAAATAAAACTGTTAGGGTATGTCTACACTAGCCCCCTAGTTCGAGCTAGGGTGGCTAATGTAGGCATTCGAAGTTGCAAATGAAGCCCGTGATTTAAATACCCAGGGCTTTATTTGTATCTTTCCGTCCAGGCGCCATTTTTAAATCACCTTAGACCGAACGAACTGCCCATGGCTGCACGCGGCAGTCAAACGTTAACTCAAACTAAGTACTTAGTTCGAGTTAACTGTTACGCCTCATGGAATGGTATTTACAGTACCTCACGGGCTTCATTTGCAACTTCGAATGCCTACATTAGCCTCCCTAGTTTGAACGAGGGGGCTAGTGTAGACATACCCTTAATCTTTAAGATTCTGGAAGAACTATTTTGCAGATACTAACTAACATGGCTTCCTCTCTGAGACTTAAAAATAATGGTGATACCAAAACATTCCCAGTTTCTGGAGGGTTATACCTGGTGGCTACTCTTTGACCAGCTGTGGAAAGGACTCTTCTCCTGAACTGTTCTCACTGATGTGCGGGTGTCCATGCATGTACAGAAAATGCCTTAAGGGGGACAGGTGTGTCTCACAGTGTTCATTTTGGTCACCAGGTGCAGAGAAGATGATGCGGCTATTTACCAGGCCTCTGCTAGCAACACCAAAGGCATCGTATCCTGTTCCGGTGTCCTGGAAGTGGGAACCATGACGGAGTATAAAATACACCAGAGGTGGTTTGCCAAGCTCAAGCAAAAGGCAGAAGCCAAACTGCGTGAAATAGAGCAGAGCAGAAAACGAGGGAAAGAAAACATGGTGGTGGAGACTCTGAGGAGAATAAGCCCTGAGAGGTTCCAGCGAAAGCGCCGACTAACTGGGGATCTGAACCTGCGGTCTGGGGCCTCCCTCTGGGAGAAGGAAGATGCCGCAAAAGTGCATGTTGCGGAGGCTCAGTCGAGATTACAGGAAGATGAGCCCAAAGAACTGTCCTTAAATGCAACCCCTGGATTTTCAAACGACTTCATAACCAGGCCTCTGGAAGCGGAGGTGACCACCAATGGAGACTCCTCCATGGAAAGCGGGGAGGAAAATGGACATAGCTTTTTCTCATACATCTATGAGACAGTGGAGGAAATAACTAACAAACCCACCACCAGAGAGTCCTTTGCTAAAAAGAAGAAGAAAGGGGAAGAGCCGACAGCCCTCCCAACACCAAAACAGGATGTCTCCACTCAAGAAAATGGGCTGATAGAGAGCCAGGACCCCTCCCAAGGTCAAAGAAATGCTCCTTCTGTCACCATGCTGGGGAGCACACAATCAGTGGCCGCAATCAGCCAGCTAGTGGGAGACGTTCCAGAAGTCAAAGAGCTTCGAGCGCCCAACCGTCAGGATGCTGAAACTGGCAAACCTCAGCCACATTCCCTGCCTCCCAAGGGTGATGTTTCCTTCTCTTTGGCAGATCTGCCTTTTGGGAAGGGAGCAAAGCAAGCAGTGGAGAAGAAGAAGGCCCAAGCCCCAAAAGAAGCTGAGAATGGGGCTCAACTGCATGCTCTGGCAGTAAGCATTAACTGGCAAAGAGAGAGTCCTCCGCCAGTATCTGAGGTGCCCCCTGTAGGGACTGCACCAGGTGAGGAGAAGAAAGGCCAACATGTGCAACGGGAGAGGAATGAGGCCAGAGATACAAAGGTAACCAAAAAGGAAAGTGAACCACTCTTGAATAAGAAAAGAATGGAGCCTCCTAGCTCCATGAAGCCAAGTTCAGAGACGTGGCACTCCCTCCCAGCGGGAAGTGCATCAGGGACTTCTTGCATCTCGTCGGGCATAAACATCCAAGAAACAGACTTGCTGGACTCCGGACAACCGAACCCCACGCAGCCCCTTCAACCTACTACCCCATCTCTGAACCAAGTGTTCCCGTGTCTGGATTTGTCCCCGCTGAGACAAGAGGCAGGAGGAAGCTTGCTTCAGGGCTCCTTGGAAGAACAGGTGGTCTTCAAAAAGCCGTGTGAGGTACTGTAAGTTCTATTTTATTTTTTGGTAGACTGACCTCAGGCAAATGTTTCCAAATCAGCTCAGCAGTGAACACAGATCACACTTAGCTATAAACGGCAACCGGGAATGCTGAATGCGTATGACCAACAGAGAGTATGATGCCATCTGTTCCTTTTAGCAATGAGCCCAGCCCTCTAAGTGGCACATTTTAATAAGTCGTTATGCAAACGACAAGCAGACATGCCAGGTAGGCTTTGTGAACTTCACGGGGCAGCCGCTGGAATTCTGTTTACAGCAAAACATACGTCGAGTCGAGCTGGCCGCTTGTTGGCTGCCTGCTCTGCTGGGACAGGGCTGTAGGTGAGATGCAGTGCTGGCTGCCGAGTCAGAGCTCTGCATCTGCTCCTGACCGTCACGGGCTCTTTCCAGGCTGTGTCTATTTTTGTCGCTTCATCTGAAGTGTTTTCCATGAAATGCAGCATTGGGCTGGAGGCTGCATGTTTCCCTGTTAACACAGCTCATGGCCCAGGGTCCTGTGATACTGATTCCAGGGCAGGCTTGAACCTGAACAGTGCCATCAATGGGCGGGGGGGGCTTTGCAGTACAGATCTAGACGAATCAAAAGACAGGGCCGAGGCTCCACTACCAGGGGAACAGAGAGCTGCAGGTGCACGTGGATTCAGTCCCTGCTCCTGCTCCCCCAGAAGGTGGGGAAAAGCCCAGAGTTCCCACCTGGAGAGCACGGGGTAGCTGGACCATTGTGACCCACTTCCGAAAGCCTCTCTCGTACACTGTTGTGACGACAGCAGCTGGGAGGAGAACCGTGTTGCCGAGGGCGGGTTCCTCCTGCATGGGCCTGGCCAAATGCACAACGCGGAGTCGCGCTGTCACTCACACGGCAGGCTTGGCAGGCAATACAATCCACGGTTCCCACGGCTAGTCCCGGGCTTCCTCCTCTAACTTTCCTTGCAGATGCGCAGCCATAGCCAGGAGCACAGCCATGCGGTGGGAGGGGATTGGCCACGTTAATCAAGCTTTGCAAAGAATTGAGGATCGGTTTCCTGGAGTCACCTGCACTTATTCTAGTACAGTCCCCCGGGACCCTCTTTAACCCGACTGCTCAGCTCCCATGGGCCATATCACTTATCGAACTGCTGCACAAATCCCTGCTGTCCACAAAAATACCTCTGAGCTTCCCCATCTGCCACTTGGCTTTGTGCCGCTTGCTCCCAAGAGAGAGTGTTTCTGGCACCAGGGCTACGTCTACACTGGCCCCTTTTCCAAAAGGGGCATGCTAATTTTAAACTTCAGAATAGGGAAATCCGCGGGGGATTTAAATATCCCCCGCGGGATTTAAATAAAGATGTCCGT